TCTGGCCTCTTCATGCCACGTAAGCTACTTCTGCTGAGGTTATTCATGACTTTCCTATCACTAATCCTATGGACAAATTTCAGTACTTATCTTACTTGACCTCCCAGCAGCAGTAGCCCCTGCTGACCTCCTTGAGACCCTCTGCTCTGTTTGGTTCCATGACACCTCTCTTTCCTGGTGTCCCTTTCATCTATGTGGCCCCTCCTTCTCAGGCTTGTTTGTTGGCTCTTCTTTGGCCATTAAATACTGGGGTGGGGGTGTTCCCCAGGCTTGACATGCAATCTTACTTTTGCCTGTGAATTTTAGAATCAGCTTGTCCATTTCTGCAAAAATGGCAGCTGGGATTCTGACAGGGATTGTGTTGAATCTGTACATCAGTTTGGGGGGTATTGTCATTTTAATAATATCAAGTCTTCCGATCTATGAACATGGGACATCTTTTCATTTGTTTAGGTCTTATATGATTTATTTCAACCATTTTTTGTAGTTCCCTGTGTACAAGCTTTCTTTTGTTAAATTTATTGTTTTCCTAATTTTTGGATTATTCACTGCTAATGTATAGCAGTACAACGAATTTTTGTATATTGATCTTGTTTCCTGAAACCTTGCTGAAATTGTAGTTTTTTTTTTTCTTTATTTTTCAACAGGGTCTCCCTTTGTCACCCAGGTTGGAGTGCAGTGGCACAATCTCAGCTCATTGCTACCTCTGCCTACCAGGCTGAAGCAATTCTCCTACCTCAGCCTCCTGAGTAGCTGGGACTATAGGAGTGTGCCACCACGCCCGGCTAATTTTTTGTAGTTTTGGTAGAGACAGGGTTTTGCCACATTACCCAGGCTGGTGTTGAACTCTGGAACTCAAGCGATCCACCCACCTCAGCCTCCCAAAGTGCTGAGATTACAGGGCATGAGCCACCACACCTGGCCCTAATTTGAATATTTGTAGATTCCTTAGGATTTTCTACATACAACGTCATGTCACCTGCAAATAATAGTTTACTTTCTTTTCAATCTGGAAGCCATTAATTTCATTTTCTTGCTTAATTGCTGTGGATGGAACCTTGAGTACAATGTTGAATAGAAATGGCAAGAACAGACATCTTTGTCTTATTCCTAATCTTAGGGGGAAAGCACTCAGTCATCCACCATTAAGTATAATGTTAGCTGTGGGTTTTTCACTGGTAACAACTTTATCAGGTTGATAAAGTTCCCTTTTGTTTCTAATTTGCTGAGTGTTTTCAATATGAAAAGGTGCTGGATTTTGTCAGATGCTTTTTTTTTGTCTTTGAGATAACCATTGGTTTGTGTTCTTTGTTCTATTAACATCTTGCATTACATTGATCAATTTTCTTAGGTTAAACTCAGTTTGTATTCTTGGGATAAATCCCATTTGGTCACGGTCTACAATCCTTTTTATAGATTGCCAGTATTTTGTTATGTAATGTTGCATATATATCCATAAAGGATGTTGGCTTGTAGATTTTTTTCTCTTGTGATGCTTCTGGTTATCTTAGTCTAATTTTGGTATCAGGGTAATATTGGTCTCATAGAACAAACTGGCATGTGTTCTCTTTTCTGCTACTTTTGGAAGAGTTTGAAAAGATAAGTGTTAATTCTTCCTTAAATATTTGGTAGAATTCACCAGTAAAGCCATCTGGGCCTGGATTTTGTTTCACAGAAAGTTTTTAACTTACTAATTCAATATCTGTGTTTGTTACAAGTCTATTAAGATTTTGTATTTCTTCTTAAGTCAGTTTAGGTGTTTGTGTCTTTCTGGAAGTTGGCCCATTCCATCTGGGTTATCTAATTTGTTGGCTTACAATATTTCATAATTTTCACTTATAATCCTTTTATTTCTGGAAGTTCAGTTGTGATACCCCATCTTTTATTTCTGATTTTAGTAATCTGAATCTTCTTACTTTTAATTTTAGTCTAGCTAAAAGGTGTCAATTTTTGTTGGTATTTTAAAAGAACTAACGTTTAGTTTCATTGGTTTTCTGTATTGTTTTCTATTCTCTGTTTCATTTATCTCTACTCTAGTCTTTATTATTTCTTTCCCCCTGCTTGCTTTTGGTTTTGTTTGCTTTTTTTAAAAATTTCTTTACTGGCCGGGCGCGGTGGCTCAAGCCTGTAATCCCAGCACTTTGGGAGGCTGAGACGGGCGGATCACGAGGTCAGGAGATCGATACCATCCTGGCTGACACGGTGAAACCCCGTCTCTACTAAAAAATACAAAAAACTAGCCGGGCGAGGTGGCAGGCGCCTGTAGTCCCAGCTACTCAGGAGGCTGAGGCAGGAGAATGGCGTAAACCCGGGAGGCGGAGCTTGCAGTGAGCTGAGATCCAGCCACTGCACTCCAGCCTGGGCGACAGACCGAGACTCTGTCTCAAAAAAAAAAAAAAAAAAAAAAAAAAAATTTCTTTACTAACATGAAAGACCCAAGGAAAACAAATTCTTAAAGTGTAAGTTTAGGTTACTGATTTGAGATTTCTCCACTTCTTCTTCTCTTCCTTCTTCAATAGATTTTATTTTTTAGAGTAGTTTTAGGTTCACAGTAAAACTGAGCAAAAAGTACAGAGAGTTCCCATATACTCCCTGTCCCCGCATCCGTCATACAATCTTGCCCACTATTGACATGCTGTACCACACTAGTACAGTGTGGTGACATTTGTTACAATTGATAGACTGACATGGACACATCATCACCCGAAGTCCATAGTTTACATTGGGGTTACTTTTGGTGGTGTCCATTCTATGGATTTGGATTGCTGTAAAATTATATGTATGCACGATTATAGTATATAGAATAGTTTCACTGCCCTAAAACTCTTCTGTGCTCTATTAATTCCTCCCTTCCCCCAAGCCCTGGAAACCACTCGTCTTTTTACTATCTCCTTGTTTTTGCCTCTTCCAGAATGTCATACAGTTGGAATCATAGAGCATGTAGCCTTTTCAGATTGGCTTCTTTTAGTAACATGCATTTAAAGTTTCTCCATATCTTTTTGTAGCTTGATAGCTTATTTCTTTTTAGCATTGAATAATAGTCCACTGTCTGTTTGTACCACAATTTATGAGTCCATTTACTTTCTGAAGGACAGCTTGCCTCCAAGTTTTAGCAATGATGAACAAAGCTGCCATAAACATTCACGTGCAGGTTTTGGTGTGGACAGAGGTATTCAGCTCATTTTGGTAAATATCAAGGAGTGCGATTGCTGGATCCTATGGTAAAAGTATATTTTGTTTTGTAGAAAACTGCTAGACTGTATTCCAAAGGGGCTGTCTCATTTTACATTCCCACTAGCAATGAATGAGAGTTCCTGTTGTTCCGCATCCTCGTCGGCATTTGGTATTGTCAGTGTTTTGGATTTTGGCCATTCTGATAAGTGTGTAGTGGTATCTCTTCATTTTTTCATTAATTAAAAAAATTTTTGTAGAGATAAGATCTGTCTCTGTTGCCCAGCTTGAAGTGCAGTGGCATAATCACAGCTCACTGCAGTGTTGAATTCCTGGGCTCAAGTGATCCTCCCGTCTCAGCCTCCCAAGTAGTTATGACAACAGGCACACATCATCATTCTCAACTAATTTTTTATTTTATGTTTTTGTAGAGACAGGGTCTCTCTATGTTGCCCAGGCTGGTCTCAAACTCCTGGCCTAAGGCAATCGTCCTGCCTTGGACTTCCAAAGCTTTGGATTATAGGCATGGGCCATCATGTCTGGCTCTATCTTTCCTTTTTTTTTTTAAAAAAAATAGAGGCATTTATAACTATAAATTTCCCTTTAAGCACTGCATTAGCTGCATCCAATACATTTTGGCATGTTGTGATTTTGCTTTCATCCCTCTCAAAGTATTTTCTAATTTCCTTTGTGATTTCTTCTTTGGCCCTTGGTTATTTAGGAGTGTGGTTTTAATTTCAGTGTATTTATGAGCTACTCAACTTTCCTTCTATTGTTGATTTCTAATTTCATTTTATCATGGTCAGAGGATATACTTTGTATGATTTCAGTCCTTGCAAATCTGTTGAGATTTGTTTTATGGGGCAATCTTATCTTTGGATAGAGCTTTATTTGATACCTATTTGGCATGTCCAGTTGGATACCTTGAAAGGATCTTGAAATCAGCAAGCACAAGATCACACTCATGACGCTCCACCCCCCAAATCACTTTTCTTTTTGTATTCCCCATCTTAATGAAGATGCCACTATCCCATGAGCTGCTTTGGTCAGAAACCTAAAATCATCCTTGATATCTTCCTCTTCCTTTTTTTCCTAAATTCAATCCATCACTGAGCCCAGCTGATTTTACTTTTGCAGCTCTCTTACATCTAGCCACTTTGTTCCATATCCATTGCCAATACCGTAGTCCAAGCTATGACTGTTACAAAAAGTACTATAATTTTCCTTAGTCCAAGCTATCACCATCTTTGCAGGGACTACTGCAATTTTCTTACTAATTCGTTTCCCAACCTCTACTTTTGCACTCTTCCAATCCATTTTTCATGTTGCAGCCAGTTTCTATTTTGAAAATGTACTGATCTTGTCAACCTTCTGCTTAAAATTCCACACCATCAGGAAAAGACCCCAAATCCAACATGGCGCCCAAACCTTGCATAGTCTGGTTCCTGCTGGTATCTGTAGCCTTATCTCACTCCTTCGCTATCTGCCCTCCAGCCACACTTGCCTGCTTTCAATTCCTTGACTGCCTCATCCTGCCTTCTGCACAGAGCCTTTGTACGTGCTTATTCTCTTTTCCTGGAATTTTTCCTTCCTGCTTCGCTTAGTTAAATCCTCTGTATTCTTCAGACCTCCCTCAAACCTCACTTTATGAAGGAATTTTTTTTTTATGAGCCCGAAATCCTACCTGTGTTTACTAAAGTCACCCTGGCCAGAGAGGGCCTCAACGAATATTTGATAAATACAAAGACAAATCCTTCAGCCCAGACTCAGCTTCCGCCTTGGATCTCTTCCCCATCCCTGCTTCAGAACAGAACCCAGGTCAGACTCACCGCAGGGTCTCCAGGAGGCAGCGAGGGCGTCTCAGGGTCTTACAAAGACTCTTCACTGCAGAGTGGCTCAGCGAGTTTCCACTTAGGTCCAGCTCTTTCAGGTTTCTGGTGACCTTGAGGATGGAGAAGAGAATCTCCCAGTAGGCATCCGTGACTGGGACCCACCTGAACCTGAGGGGGAGAGAAGACAGGAGAGATATGACGTGTCTGGCAGGGGTTTCAGGTGCCCAGCTCTGCACAACACAATTGGGCCTTGTCCTCCTGAGCACCAGGCCACAGCGGGTAGTGCCATCTCCAGGACTGACCAGCCTCCCTGCCTGTCCGCCCCTGTCACCCAGGGCTAGGTCCCTCTCCTCCATGTGGCTCCTCATTCTACAGCCCTTACCATAGCACACTGAAGTGTTCATCTTGTATGTCTGTTTCCACCTCAGTCTGGCAGTTCTTTGAGGGCAGGGACAGACATTTGTCTTTTTGTTTTTTCTTTTCTTTTTTTTTTTTTAATCTGCACTGCTCAACATAGGGCCTGGCTTCTGTGCTGGGCACTGCAGATAACAAAACAATTTTTCATTAAAAAAATTTGACAGCCTTCCTCCCTTTGATGCAGACACACCTGTGTTCCTTTGGCATAGACATTCTGGAGTCCCAGTGCCCAGAAAAGAAGATGGGAGGCAGGAGCAGAGCCTGGGAGAGATGGCCTGAGGAAGGTGTTGTCACGAAAGACTGTGTATGATCATATGCACTACTGTCCAGGTTGGCTCACAGGGGACCCGATCCCCTTCCCAGGATAACAAGATCATGGAGAGGGTCTGCAGGAGAGAGACGGCTGTGGGGAGTGCCCTAGGAGGGAATATTTGCAGCCTGAGGGGAGGGGATGATGGACTTTTTCTGAGAATGTTAGAGTGGACTCCGACTCATGGGATTTCATTTAATCGATGTGTTTTCACACACTACTTTGATGACCTCATCTACCTCCAAGGCTTCGACTACTCAAAGCTCTATTCCAAGTTTCAGACTGAGTTTTCTGTTTTCTGGCCGGATATCCCCACCTCGACATCCCAGTAATTCTTTGATCTAATTTGTCCCAACAAGTCCCCAACCTTAATTCATCTTTCTCCGTAAGTCTGCAGAGCCATGTGGGGGGAAGAAGCAGAGGCAAGGAGCTGCCTGCACGTGGGCTCTGCTCCTCTGTGCCTCACTCCGTCTCCTCAGCTGCAAAAAGAGGACAGCAACAGCACCTGCTGCAGAGGGGTATGTGAGAATTAAAAGCTACTACAGAGTATCCCAAAAGTCCTAGAGCAGTTTTAAGTTGTAATAACTGTGGAAGTACAAGTACTACAAACATACAGAAAAAGCCAGCTAAGTGCAGTGGCTCTTGCCTGTAATCCCAGTACTTTAGGACGTAGAGGCAGGAAGATCGATTGAGCCCAGGAGTTTGGGACCAATCTGGGCAACATAGTAAGATCCTGTTTCTACAGAAAATTAAAAAAATTAGCCGACGTGGTGGTGTGCACCTGTAGTCCCAGCTACTCAGGAGGCTGAGGCAGGAGAATGGCTTGAACCTGGGAGGCCAAGGTTGCAGTGGGGTATGGTCATGCCACCGCACTATTCCTGGGAGACAGCGAGATCTCATCTCAGACACACACCCACACAGACACATACACACAGACACGCACACACAGACACGCGCGCACACACACACACACACGAAAAAAAGCCATAAATGAAAGTTTATTTGAATTTCTTTTACGTTTAGTTTTGTGAAACTTGAAAAATACATTTTAAATTTTTTATTTCCGTCAGCATTTGCCATCCTTAATCAAGGTGACTGGAAAAAAAATAAAAATTTATATTTGAAAATGCACAATGCTTAATCACACACCGAATACCTGGAACCTCCCATCCTGCCATCTTCATTTCTTTAATATCTCTGGTTGGTTCTACTCTTCCTTCCCACAGCCCTTGGCCAACCTCAACCCTTTCTTCCTGAACTTTCTTGTTTGTTTATAGTAGACGTCTTATTCTTCTGTCTGCCTAGACTAGCTGATTCAGTTCCTTGAAAATTCCTCCTCCCGCTTGCGGCTGAAGCCTCTGACTTTCCCATGGCATTCTCTTAAGGCTCCACTTGCTCCTGCCCATCCCAAACTCTCTTCTCTGGCCTGGTGTTCTTGGTTCCCTTTGCCCATCCCAGCCCCCATCCCCTGGCCAGCCACCATCTGGCCTCTGTCTGTAGCTGCTTGGAACTCTTCGAAGGTTTCCCATCTGTCCACTGCTACTTGCAGTACCTGTATCCAGGTCCTTTAAAACCTACCTCACATTTATAACTATGAACAACTAGAAACAGCTTACAATGGCCAAGAACAGGAGAATGGTCAAATCAGCCATGGCACTTTCCCTATGGAATAGCATGAGGTCATTCAAAATGGTGTTGTATCAGACTACTTAAAAATATATGAAGGGCTGGGCATGGTGGCTCACGCCTGTGACCCTAGCACTTTGGAAGGCGGAGGCAGGAGGATCATTTGAGGTCAGGAGTTCGAGAACAGCCTGGCCAACATGGTGAAACCTCGTTTCTACTAAAAAGACAAAAAAATTAGCTGCGTGTGGTGGCGCGTGCCTGTAATCCCAGCTACTCTGGAGGCTGAGGCACGAGAATTGCTTGAATCTGGGAGGCAGAGGTTGCAGTGAGCCCAGATCGTGCCACTGCACTCCAGCCTAGTGACAGAGCGAGACTGTCTGTCTCTCTCTCTGTATCTCTCTCTCTCTACACACACACACACACACACATATGTATATGAAGGGCTGGGCATGGGGGCTCATGCTTGTGATCCCAGCACTTTGGGATGTCCAGGTGAGCAGACTGCTTGAGCCCCGGAGTTTGAGACCAGCTTGGTTAACGTAGCGAAACCCCATCTCTATACAAAAAATTTACAAAAATTCTCGTTGCATGTTGGCATGCTCCTATAGTCTCAGCTTCTAGGGAGGCTGAGGTAAGAGGATCCTTTAAGCCTGGGTGGTCCAGGCTACAGTGAGCTGTGATTGCACCACTGCACTCCAGCCTTGGTGACAGAGCGAGACTCTGTCTCAGACAACAACAAACCAAAAAAAAAAAAAAAAAACCAAAACCCACACCCACACACAAGAAGATAGCCTTGATATATGAAGAAAATAAAACTGACTATAAAATAAAATGTACAATATGGTTTGATTTAGCCATAGAAATGTACATAGAAAAAAGACTGGGGTTCTTACAATTGACCACTAATTTTTTTTTTTTTTTTGAGACTGAGTTTTGCTCTTTTGCCCAGGCTGGAGTGAAGTGGCACAATCTCAGCTCACTGCAACGTCTGCCCCTGAATGGTCAAGTGATTCTCCTGCCTCAGCCTCCCGAGGAGCAGCTGGGATTACAGGTGCCTGACACCATGCTCGGCTAATTTTTGTATTTTTAGTAGAAATGGGGTTTCACCATGTTGGCCAGGCTGGTGTCGAACTCCTGATCTCAGGTGAGCCACCTGCCTCGGCCTCCCAAAGTGCTGGGATTACAGGTATGAGTCACCACACCCAGCCAATTTTTAATGATGGTCATTTCATTTCAGAGTGATAGAATTCTGGTTGATACTACTTTTCATCTTTTTGCTTATGTACATATCCTTTCTTTTTTTTTTTTTTTGAGACAGAGTCTGGCTCTGTTGCCCAGGCTGGAGTTCAGTATTGCGATCTCGGCTGATTGGAAACTCTGTCTCCCAGATTCAAGTGATCCTCATGCCTCAGCCTCCCTAATAGCTGGGATTACAGGCGTGTGCCACCATGCCCAGATAATTTTTGTATTTTTTAGTAGAGATGGGGTTTTGCCATGTTGGCCAGGCTGGTCTTGAACTCCTGGCCTCAAGTGATCCACCTGCTTCGGCCTCCCAAAGTGCTGGAATTACAGGTGGAGGCACTTCACCCAGCCTACACATCTTTTTTTTTTTCCCATAATGAACATGAATTTTATTGTGAGAAAAAGTTTTAAAAATTTGAATATGAAGACCCACATCAAACATTTCTTCCTCTGAGAATCTTTATTGTCCATTCGTGTGATCGCTCCCTTCCTTGGGCCACCACAGTACCTTGTCCATACCTCTACTATTGTAGGCACCACACTCTGTTGTCATTAAATGAATGTTTGTCTTCTCCCCTATTTTTTGAGCTCCTTAAGGCAGGTATTGTGCTTTTTAATCTGTGATCTGTAGGGCCTGGCATAGAATCAGTGCTGAATAAATACTTATGGAATGAATCCTCTAAAGCAGGACATAGACACATACCAATACCATGTGATCAATACTGCGACAGAGGTCGGGGAACTGGGATGGGGAAGTTCTCAGGGTTGCCGGGCTGAAGAATGATTAGAGGAAGCCGCTCTTACACAACCAGAGGGTGGGTTTCAGGCTGAGTGCCTGGAGCAATGGTGGCACCATGGTCACAAATAATTATGAAGTCAGTTTTGCAGGGAAAAGTAGGAAACTCTTTCTGTGAGCTGCTGGGGAAGATCTCAGGGCCAATGTCGTTGTCATTGAGAGGGTTCCTGAAGCAGCTGGAGGAGCAATTTCTCTGAGAGAATGAATGCCCAGAGAGAGGAGCAGGGGAGGGGGGGCTGCCTGATCCTTGGGGAGTGTGGGGGTAGCTAAGGTCAGCAGGAAGGTGGGAGCACGTCCAGGAGAGAAGGTGGATGGTCATTCTAAGGGTAGAAGGAGAGGTGCAGACATGGCGGCGCCCAGTGGCCTCTCCAGAAGCAAGCAAGGCTTGCCCCACAGCCGGGCACTGCAGAGGGGCTTACGTGGACAGAGCATGGTGGTCAGATTGGGTAGTTAGAAGTCACTGGCAACCCTGATCCTTTAGCCACCCCCGCCCCTGCCCAGGCTCAGGGAGCATGCCTCTGGTGCTCAGGTCACTCGGGCTTATGGACCGACAGAGGAGCTGAAGACATGGGTATTTTGGGTACTCACAGGACTATCCCAGTGGGGCTCCATGCTGGTCTGTGCTGCCTGCCCTCAATCAGTTGAAGCTTCTTCACGTGGCAGCAGAATTGAATGCAGAAAGTGCACACCAGGAGCTCCATGTCTGTTTCCACACACATGCCCATTTCTTGGAAATCGGCCATCATGTGTGTCAGGAACATTTTGTTCTGAGTCTCGTACAAACAGTGGAGGAAATCCAGAGAGTGTGGCTGCAGCAGGGGCCGCAGGCACGGGACCCACTGCATCAGGTTCCTCCCCTGAGACCGCCGGCAGTTAAAGATGTTCTCCATCGCTCTCTCCCCCTCATCACTTAACAGGCCCAATAGGAAACGTGTGGTTGGTGCCCCAAACAGGCCATGTGTTCCATATGCTTCTAGCAACTTTTCCAAATCTATGATGCAATTAGCATGTTTACCTCTCCCCTTCTTATCCTCCAAGGCATAGGACATTGCTGCAAAGAACTCCTGGAAACAGAGGTGAATGAAGCTGTAGCTCAGAGGGATGGGGTGCTCTTGAAGAATACCCATCTTTAAGAGGGTGGAGATGATGGCCCCATCTAACTCATGCTTCCTGAGGTCATCTCGACTGAAAAGGGTCTTTTTTTGCCAGATGCCCTCAGCAGCCAGAGAGCAGACGTCCCCGAGCTGGGGCCCCAACGGCTGAGCTTGGAGAGCCTGGGAAAGGTAATGCAGACAGAGGGTCGTGGTGGTCTTGGAGGTCAGTGTGAGTTCTTCCTTCCGCTTCATCTGCTCCATCAGGCAGGTGCAGGCCAGCCAGGACACCCAGGGCACGAGACATAGGGCCCAGAGCTCTTTGTTTGATTTGATCAACCCAAAGGCTCTAATTGCTTGCCTTTCATCTGTGAAATATTTGTAGAAATATTCCCTCCTGCTGGACTCAGAGAATCCCAGGACCTCTACCCAGCGTGCCTGCTCCAAAGAAGGAATGAGGTTCTGCAGAGCTGTGGTCCGAGCCGTGATCAGGAAGGATGCCTCGGGAAGTATGGTTTTCCCCAGCAAACTGCCCAGCAGTGCGTCCGCCGGCTGCGGCTGGCTCCAGTGCAGACAAAGCTCGGAACTCGGCTCCTGCAAGACCCATCTTGGCTCATCCACACCGTCGAGGATGAAGAGCAGCCGCTCTGGCCTGGACAGGATCTGTCTAATGGGAGCCTGAGCGGCTGTCCAGTCTTTTCCGATGAGTTCAGCGAGACTCACCACCTTGCACTGGGCCAGATCTCTGCAGCTGAAGTAGAAGACATGCTGGAAGCGGTCCCCATACAGCTGGCCTCTCCCCCAGGCTTCCCTCACCTGCCTGGCCAGTGTTGACTTCCCAATTCCAGCAGCCCCCTGCAGTATGACTATGTGAGGTTCTTGGGGATCCAGGCCTGGGCCAAATAAGTCTCTGATCTCAATTAAACGTCCTCGATCCTCCTCCACATCCTCCTCCACATCATGAGGCCAGCTTCCCTTGACCAGCGGCTTCTGGCTTCTGGGGTGAGGTCTTTGTAGAAGTAGCAGCTGTGTGAAATTTTGGTTCAAATCCTCATTATTCCAGGACCATGTGGAACAGAGGCTCTCTCTCGCAGAAGGCTCCCATGGGTGGCGGGGGGGCTGTAGGCTGGCGTGCACCTGTGGGGGCGTTCCTACTGCTGCCTCCCATGGAGGCCTGCCTTTCTCTGATTCCTCTCTCTCTTTTTCTCTGATTCCTAAGTAAGGCAGGGAAAGAAGGAACATAAAAGGTAGAGAATAGAAGAATGAATGAATTAATTAAACAACTGTTTCAGGCACCTATTCCAAGCCACACGCTGCGCTGGCTGCAGACACTGGTATGTTCTCGCCATGCGGCGGAAGGAGCATGTGCTTTGGGGTAGAAGATCCCAGTTCAAGTCTTGACTCAACCAAGTCACACTCCCTGAATGACTTTCCTTCACTGAATATTTATCAAGGGCTTACTATGTGCCAGGTGCTGCTACAGGGGCTGGGGATAAAGAGTGAATAAAACAGACACAACTCTCTGTCCTCACTAAGCACGTGATGCTGGCCATTAGCCCCTGTGAGCCTCAGTTTTCTCATCCATAAGCTGGGGGTTGTAGGAGGTCATGGAGTTGTGGAGGAGATACCAGAGTGTGTAGCAGATGCTGACAGCATCCCCTGAGCACCTGCTGTTGCAGTACCTGCCAACCGTGTCCCTCGGCAACAGCTGTGGTCATCTGTCTGAGGGCTCTTTCTGCCTGTAAGCCAGGCAGGCCAGAAATACTGGGGGATAGTTCTCCAGTCCAGGAGATGCCCTTAGTGGATGACAGATGGGGGTCCCTTGCCCCCAGTGCAGATAACACTCAGGCGTGTTCTCACCGTCTCCCAGACATCCGCAGCAGCATGGAGCCTGCGGATGCAATAACATTCATAGGCTCAAAGTAAAGGGATGGGGAAAAATCCACCAAACAAATGGAAAACAAACAAAAGCATGGATTGCCATTCTAATCTCAGACCAAACTTCAAATCAACAACATTCAACAAAGACAAAGAAAGGCATTACATAATAATAAAGGGTTCAGTTCACCAAGACGACTTATTTTCTTTTTTTTCTTGAGATGGAGTCTCGCTCTGTTGCCCAGGCTGGAGTGCAGCGGTGCAATCTCGGCTCGCTGCAAGCTCCGCCTCCCGGGTTCACGCCATTCTCCTGCCTCAGCCTCCCGTGTAGCTGGGACTACAGGCGCCCGCCACCATGCCTGGCTAATTTTTTATATTTTTAGTAGAGTTGAGGTTTCACCGTGTTAGCCAGGATGGTCTCGATCTCCTGACCTCGTGATCTGCCCGTCTCCGCCTCCCAAAGTGCTGGGATTACAGGCATGAGCCACCGCGCCCGGCCAACTTAACTATTATGAATATATATGCACCTAATACAGGAGCACCCAGATTCATAAGACAAGTTCTAAGAGACTGATGAAGAGACTTAGATAACCATATAGTACTAATGGGAGACTTCAACACTCACTGACAGTATTGAACAGATCATCAAGGCAGAATACTAACCAAGATATTTGGGACCTAAATTCGACACTTGACCAAATGGGCCTAACAGACATCTACAGAACTCTCCACCTCAAACAACAGAATATATATTCTTCTCATTTGCGCATGGCATATACTGTAAAATCAACCACACAATCTGCCATAAAAAGTTCTCAGTAAATTAAAAAAAAATACAAATCATATCAGCCACATTCTTGGACCACTGCACAATAAAAAAAAAAAAATCAATACAAAGAAGATAGCTCAAAACCATACAATTCATGGAAATTAAACAACTTGCTCCTGACTGGTTTTTGGGTAAACAATGAAATTAAGGCAGAAATAAAAAAATTCTTTGAAACCAGTGAGAACAAAGATACAATATACCAAATCTTTGGGACACAGATAAAACAATGTTAAGAGTAAAGTCTATAGCAGTAAATGCCCATATCAAAAAGTTAGAAAAATCTCCAATTAGCAACCTAACATCACAAATAGAAGAATTAGAAAAATAAGAGCAAATCAACCCCAAAGCTAGCAGAAGACAAGAAATAACCAAAATCAGAAATGAACTGAATGAAACTGAGATGGAAAAAACCATACAAAAGATCAACAAAACCAAAAGTTCATTCTTTGGAAGAATAAATAAGATCGATAGACCACTAGCTAGACTAATAAAGAAAAAAAAAGATAGAAGATCCAAATAAACACAACAAGAAATGACAAAGAGGAAATTACCACCAACCCCACAGAAATATAGAAAACCCTCAGAGACTATTATGAACACCTCTATACACAGAAATTAGAAAAACTTACAAGAAATAAATTCCTAAGACTGAACTAGGAAGAAATTAAAACTCTGAACAGAGCAACAATGAGTTCTAAAATGGAATCAGTAACAAAAATTCTAACAACCAGCAAAGGCCAGGACCAGATAGATTCACAGCAGAATTCTACCAGACATATAAAGAAGAGCTGGTACAATTTCTACTGAAATTATTCCAAAAAATTGAGGAGGAGGGGACTCCTTTTGAACATAGGTGCAAAAATCTTCAGCAAAATACTAGCAAACTGAATCCAGCAGCACATCAAAAAGTGAATTCACCACAACCAGATAGGTTTTATCTCTGGGATGCATGTTTGATTTGACATATGCAAATCAATAAATGTGATCTATCACATAAACAGAAGTGAAAAAGCCCCCACATGATCATCTCAATAGATGCAGAAAAGGCATTTGATAAAGTTCAACATCCTTTAATGTTAAAACTCTCAACAAACTAGACATTGAAGGAGCATATCTCAAAATAATAAGGTCCATTTATGACAAAACCACAGACAACATCATACTGAATGGGCAAAAGCTGGAATTATTCTCCTTGAGAACCAGAACAAGACAAGGATGTTCATTCTCACCATCTATTCAACATAGTACTAGAAGTCCTACCCAGAGCAATCAGGTAAGAGAAAGAAGTAAAAGACATCCAAATAGGAAGAGAGGAAGACAAAGTATCTCTGTTTGCAGATGTTATGATTTTACACCTAGAAAACCTCCTAGTCTCTGCCCCACATCTGCTAGATCTGATAAACAACTTCAGCAAAGTTTCAGGATGCAAAATCAATTTCTTCTATTGGGTAATAAGTATTACATAACATTGTGCAATGTTGGTGCATTTCCATAAACCAACAACATCCAAGCAGATTGCCAAATCAAGAATGCAATCCCATTCACAATAGCCACAAAAAAGTACTTAGGAATACATCTAACCAGGATTGTGAAAGATCTCTATAGCAAGAACTACAAAACACCGCTGAAAGAAATCAGAGATGACACACACACAAATGGAAAACATTCCATGCTCATGAATAGGAATAATCAATATTGTTAAAATGGCCATACTACTCCAAGCAATTTACAGATTCAATGCTATTCCTATTCAAACAACCAATGACATTCTTCACATAATTAGAAAAAGAATTCTAAAATTAATATGGAACCAAAAGAGAGCCCAAATAGCCAAAGCAATTCTAAGTAAAAAAAAAAAAACAAACAAATCTGGAGGCATCACATTACCTATTTTTAAACTATACTACAAGGCTACAGTAATCAAAACAGCATGCTACTGGTACAAAAGCAGACACACAGACCAATGGAACAGAATAAAATGCCCAAAAATAAAGCTGCATACCTACAACCATCTGATCTTTGATAATGTTGACAAAAACAAGCAATGGGGAAAGGATTCCCTATTCAATAAGTGATGCTGAGATAACTGGCTAGCCATATGCAGAAGACAAACTGGACCCCTTCCTTATACCATATACAAAGATCAATGGAAGATGGATGAAAGGCTTAAATATAAAACCTAGAACTTTAAAAACCCTGAAGAAAACCTAGGAAATACCATTCTGAACCTAGGTCCTGGCAAAAATATTCATGAGGAAGATGCCAAAAGCAATTGCAATGAAAACAAAAATTGACAAATGGGACCTAATTAAAGAACTTCTGCACAGCAAAAGAAACTACCCACAAAGTAAATAGACAACCCACAGAATGGGAGAAAATATTTGCAAACTACCCATCTGACAAAGTTGGAATATCCAGAATCTATAAGGAACTTAAACACATAAACAAGTCAAAAACAATCCCATTAAAAGTGGACACATGGCTGGGCGTGGTAGCTCATGCCTGTAATCCCAGCACTTTGGGGACTGAGGCGGGCAGATCACTTGAGGTCAGGAATTCGAGACCAGCATGGCCAACAGGCCATCTCCACTAAAAAATACAAAAATTAGCCAGGCGTGATGGTGCACACCTGTAATCCCAGCTACCTGGGAGGCTGAGGCAGGAGAATCCCTTGAGCCTGGGAGGGGGGAGGTTGCAGTGAGCAGAGATCACACCACTGCACTCCAGCTTGGATGACAGTGCGAGACTGTCTAAAAAAAAAAAGTGGACAAAGGATGCTGATAGATACTTCGAAAGAAGACATACACATGACCAACAGCATATGAAAAAATGCTCAACATCACTTATTATTAGAAAAATGCCAATCAAATCCACAATGAGATACTATTGCACACCAGTCAGAATGGCTATAACTAAGAAGTCAAAAAATAACGGATGTTGGTGAGACTGCAGAGAAACAGGAACGCTTATACACTGCTGGTAAGAATGTAAGTTAGTTCAGCCACTGTGGAAAGCAATTTGGCAATTTCCCAAAGAACTCTGAACTACCATTCAATCTAGCAATCCCATTATTGGGTATATACCCAAAGGAATGTAAATCATTCTACCATAAAGGTGCATGCACACGTATGTTCATTGCAGCACTAGTCACAATAGCACCAGTATGGAATCAACCATAGACTGGTTAAAGAAAATGTGGCGCATTTGCACATGGAATACTACACAGTCATAAAAAAGAATGAGCTCATGCCTTTGCAGCAACTTGGATGGAGCTGGAGAGCATTATAAGCAAACTAACACAGGAACAGAAAACCAAATACTGCATGTTCTCATTCGTAAGTTAGGGCTAAACATTGAGTACACATGGACACAAAAAAAGGAACAATAGATACTGTGACCTTTTGAGGGTAAAGAGCAGGAGGAGGGTAAGGATTAAAAAACTGCCGAGCCAGGTGCGTGGCTCACGCCTGTAATCCCAGCACTTTGGGAAGCTGAGGTGGGCAGATCCTGAGGTCAGGAGATTGAGACCATCCTGGCTAACACAGTGAAACCCCGTCTCTACTAAAAAGACAAAAAATTAGCCGGGCGTGGTGGCGGGCGCCTGTAGTCCCAGCTACTCGGGAGGCTGAGGCAGGAGAATGGCGTGAACCCGGGAGGTGGAGCTTGCAGTGAGTGGAGATCACGCCACTGCACTCCAGCCTGGGCAACAGAGCAAGACTCCGTCTCAAAACAAACAAAACAAAAAAACAAAAACAAAAACTACCTAAAAGGTACCATGCTTATTACCAGGGCGACAAGATAATTTGTACAGCAAACACTTATGACACATAATTTACCTATGTAACAAACCTGCACACGTGTTTCTGAAACTAAGATTTTTTTTTTTTTTTTTTAACTTCCCTATTTGAAGAATTCCCTTAGAATTTCGAATCAGGGTAAAATGTATTTCCCTTGCATTGGTCTTTTCTATTAACAGGTATTGTGTAACCCATTATATTTCCCCTTTTGCCAGTGTTGCTAGAATGTCCACAACCCGTGGAACCTTTATTTATAGCACTGAGTTAGTCTTTGTGGTTTTCATACTTGTTTTTTTCACTTTTAAAGTTATTGCATTTTTATGCTTCTATAGATGGCTCTGATGTCTTTATATTCTTCCTTTCTTCCTTCTTTTCTGTTTTTCAGTTTTAATTATCTTTCCTGTTTATTTGGGTTTTCTAATTCACAAAATCATTTTGAGAAAAAGTTATCTTTGTGATTCTCAGATGCAGAAAGAAGCAACTAAGAGTCAAGTATTAGAATCTTCCTTTCTTGACCTTGTTGCAGATTCTGTTTTCCTTAGTTTATCTTGAATGTTGATCTTTCCTTATATACCCTATCAAGATTTTAAAAATAGGGGTTTATTTATTTTTTATGTTAGACTCAGGCGGTATATGTGCAGGTTTGTTACATGGCTGCTGCTTCTTTGTTTTTTGAATGGCAAATGGTGTGAATAATTAAGTAAACTGATATACTTTGAGCCTAGGCCATATAGGACCATGAAGTCTACAAGTTTACTCCTAGCTGGGTGCAGAAGAAATCCTTTTAACTTAACATCTCCCAGATTTCAAAGGAGGCGTCCCCTGGCATTGAGAGGCAGTGTAGTTAGTGGTTAAGGAGCCGGTGGCATCAGGAGCCTCTGTACCTGTGGTTTTAGCATGACTGTCCTCATTGCCCAGATGAGGGCACCTCCTATGTAAGTAAGAGTTAAATGTGTGGATTGCTGGATGACAGTGAAGGCTGAATTCCATCTTTGCTAGTACTAACTGTGAGACTATCTTTCTGATCCTTGGTTTTCTCATCTCCATGGTATGATAATAGCAATATTTATCTCATGGAGTGGTTGTAACATTTAAGGCCAATGTACACGTAAAGGCCTGGACATGGTCTAACCCAGAGAGTGTCCGGTGAGCACTGATGGGCATGGGACTAGCTGTAGGCCACTTGTGGGATGAGGAGCTCAGTAGAAATTGAACCGATCTCTCCTGACCCCAGGCCAGTGCCCTGTCCAGCAAACCAGGTGATGTGTAACCCCATCCAGCCTCCTCCATCCTTGCTCTGTTGTCCCCCTGATGTGCTGGTTAACACATCTGTATTTGGATGCCCAGGGGCCTCCTGGAAACAGTGCCTTGGACCCGTGGAGAGGCTCCAAGGGTGGGATTTCCTGAGGGAAATTTCAGATGTTTTCCAGAACCTCTGCTCAGCCTGCCAACCTGGTCCCCAGGGGACTCTCTGTCCATGCATTTGCCTCTCCCACCTCACCACCCCGCCAGGAGCTCAGTAGGGTCTCACCTGTGTAGTAATTTCCTGACGTTTCATCCAGAGGCCACTGGGTCCCAGGAGCCTCCTGCTCTCTGGGTGCTAGGCTGGGCTGAGGTGGGGATCTCCAGCTCGCCAGCACTGCTGTGGATGTGGGGGCATTGGGCGACTCCTGGCTCGGAGACTCCAAGTCTGGGGAGCTTGGAAGAGCTTGGTAGAGGAATGAGGAAGAGATTTCTGGGAGGAATTAAAAGAAAAATGACCATTTACTGAACATTTATTTTCTTTTAGGTGCATATATTTTAAACTCTCACAACAGTCCTGAGAGATGGGTCTTAATAATATTATTTTAAAAACCATGTCAAAGTAGAGGGACAATTTTATTCTCTTAGTAGTGAAAAGTCATGTGAGGGAGTTGGCTTGGGCCGAGGACTAAGCCTAGCCTCTTCTTGGGGTCTGTCTGGAAAACAGAGTCCTCCTCGAAACTTCTGGACCACGCTGACCCTCAGGATCTTCACAGCCCACCAATATTACGAGCCAAGTTCTCCTCGGGCAAGGACCATGTCACCCATGACACCCAGCTGGGTAAGACTCATGGCCTGACTCATACGGGTCTCAGCTTCCCCATCTGTCAAATGGGGAGGGGTGCAATCTCTCCCCTGAGGGGTCCCTGAAAGGTCACTTCCAGGCCTGCCTCTCACAGCCCACCCTGGCTCCCCTGTCCTTCCTCTGAGGTCCCCCATGTCAGGTCCCCGTGCACAGAGGTGATCGTCTGGGCGGGGCCCACCAGCGGATTCGCAGCTCCACCCAGGGCTGTCGGCAGGACTCAGCAAGCCTCACCTCTCCAGCGGCGTCCAGATGTGTCAGGCAGCTGTCTCAAAACCCTTCTCTCTGAGCCCTGGGTGCACTCCGCTGGCAATTCACGGTTCCAGGGCCTCAGCACTGCGGTGGAGGTGGGTTGGCTGGGAGACCCCAGGTGGGGTTCAATCGGGCTGTAGGGGAATGAGGGAGAGTAGCCTACAGGAAAGAGATCAAGAGGTTGGAGACACATTAGAGGGACAGGGGCAGGTGCCAGGGAACTGAGCAGGTCTCCTGTCTCAACCAAGAGAGGTCAGGATACACCAGCGAACCCACTGCAGCCCTCTACAACCTCCTCTAGAGGCTATTCTGAAGAATGATGCTCTTACAGATACTGCTAGGCAAAAAGTCCTGGTCTGGGATCAGGAAATTTGCGTATCTGTCTTGGTCCTGACTACCTCCCTGCGTAAATCACTGCTCCTCACGAGCCTCAGCTGTGCTTCATTGGGCCAACGGCATCTGCCACCCAGGGCGGCTAATAGTAATAACAGCAGCAGCAGCAGCAACAACAGGGGAGATCTTATTTATTGAGCACTTACTGTATATCAGACTCTGTGCTAAATGTTTAACCTGGATGATCTCTTTTAACCCTCACACAGCCCAGAGAGGCAGGCTCTCACTCTCCCATTTTGCAGAGACACAGGCAGAGGGCAGCGAAGTGACTGGCCCAGGGTGATAGTGCCAGGACTGGGGATAGAGACTGACTCCCAAGTCTGTGCTTGTAACTACAATGCCAGGCAAGTACTGGGAATGCGCTTGAATAGAAGAGGGTGTGGGGCTCTGAGGTGAGCAAAGGCCCCTCAGCAAGCCTCCCGGCTTAAGTGTAGTCTGGGGCCTGGGTCCACCTTTGACAGGGCAGTTCCACGTCACCGCCCAGAGGAAGTCCTGGCAGGGAGGGCTCAGTGGTGGTGGTGGGGGGGTTCCAAGAGGGCAGGGCAGGGCAGGAGTGGGGGCCAGGGGATGTTCAGCGGGCAGAGGGGTCCTTTGGCTACTCACCTGCCCCTTCCTGGGCTTGGGTGCACAGTGACCACAGCCCCATCTGCTCCCAGGTACGGAGGGCTAGGTCCCAGGCCCGCTGCTCCCCATACTGAGCCACCAGGTATGAGGCCACTTCCATGCCACTCGTCTTCTCCGGCCGAGCGGGTGTCTCACCCGAAGAGCCGCTGGAGTGCACTTTACTGGTGAACAGAAGCTGGAACTCCTTCAGCTCCTCCTTCTTCAGGAGCTCCAAGTAACAGGCCAGGCGGCCCCAGGCTCCGCCAGCCATCTCTGTCCCAGAGTTCAGGGCGTGTCTGGGGGATGGTTCACGGGTGGTGAGTGTATCAGGCAGGCAGAGAACAGTGCTGTCCTTTGCCTTGCTCTTACCATCTCCTATTCAGCATTCAGAACCCAGTTTTATAAATCCCAGGGCACCTGCAGATAGATGCCGATGGAGGGGCAGTGGCAGGAAAAGCCAGGGGAGGGAGGAGCCCAGAGGGGCCTGCGAGACCCTGGAAGAAGTCAGCTGACAGGGAGGTGCTGGGATGGGGCCCAGGACCAGGCAGGGAGGGGGAGGGGGAGGGGAGATGTGGTGACAGGGGATGGGGTGTGGGCAACGCTCACTGTTCTGTGTTCCTCAGATTCTTCCCTCTCCTGGGTCCTGGACTCCTGAGATCAACTGTTGAGCTGCAAGGCTGAGAAGAGGTGGGGTAGGAGGAGCCGCAGAGCAAGGAACGGGCTTTTAGAACCCAAAAGCGGAGCCCAGGGCTACTGGCTCCCAGGTCTCGTCAGACCTCTCCTGGCCCTGGGGCACCGACCGGCAAGAACAGCCCCCAGTCAACAAGAGTGGGAAGGAAATGTCACCCAGAGGAAACTCACAAGGGGTGTGGCCAGGGGGTAGGCTCAAACCAGGCCTGGGTAGACCAGACTCAGAGTCACATATTCAGATGGGCCACATGACATCGATAGGCGGACCAGGGGCACAGGTCCAGATTAGCTGGTGCTGCAGCAGGTATACGCCCATACTACACACGGGCACTCCGCCAGCCCGTCACCTAGAGACTGTCTGCAGAGCCAGGATGCAGAGACTCTCCAAGCAGTTGTGTCTACAAGCCAGGACCAGCCTCTCAGGATGGGCGGGGCCCCCTGTGTCTGCCCGGGCAGCTCCTTATTGGGAAACATTAGAACTGGGCCAGGGAGCGCTTTTCCCAGCCTCTCATGGTTTTGGGAGCTTGTTGAGTTGCACTGCATGTCCTGCCATGCTACCAGGGGCACTGAAGCATGTGTCCCAGGCCCAGGGGGCTGTTTGTCTTGTGGGCAGCCCAGCACTTAGCTGGTGAACACTTCCACCTGAAAGCAGAACCGCTCCTTCCTCATTCTTGCAAGCAGGCCTCAGGGAGCTAGGTGCGGACTTCCTCTTTGGTGGAGTCTGCAAGATGCCGCTGACTCCAGGTTGAGGAATGACATTACCCAACTCATCTGCTGATGTAACACACCACCAGCAATTTCTGGAGATGCTTTGGTTTCACCTGGACTGGCAGAGCCCAGGCTTCAACCCATGGCTTGCTTGGACAAGGACTCCTTATGTGCCTGATTTATTTCTCTGAGCCTCAGTTTGCCCATCTATTAAATGAGACATCATAGGTTTACCAAGAGGCTTCAATTCAGCAAAAGGTCTTCGAGTCTTTCTCTATCGCCCAGGCTGGAGCGCAGTGGCAAGATCTCAGCTTACCGCAACCTCCGTCCACCTCCCAGGTTCCCGCGATTCTCCTGCGTCAGCCTCAGGGGCAGCTGGGATTACAGGTGCACACCATCACACCTGGCTAATTTTCTTCTATTTTTAGTAGAGATGGGGTTTCACTATGTTAGCCAGGCTGGTGTCGAACTCCTGATCCAAGGTGATCCGCCCACCTTGGCCTCCCAAAGTGTTGGGATTACAGGTGTGAGCCTCCGTGCCTGGCCTAAATAAATTTTATAAATGTTAGTTTTTAAAAATGGCTAATAAGCACATTGTAGGGCATTCTAACCTCAGACTGACCAGAAGTGGAAAAGCGCTGTGCTAAAAGTGGGATGATCGGGAGGCTCTGAGCACTCCGTGAAGGACCCTAAGACTCCATATAGTGGGAGGAATAGCCTGGGGGAGGGCTGTGTGGGTTCTTTTTCCTCCTCAACACCAGCCAGTTCTGACACCAACTTGAGTCCTACAGTGCAATTCTGACACTAACTGCCTGGAGTCGGCATCAAACCCCACAGGTTTAGGGGCTCAGTGAAGGGCTGGCCTCATATCAGATGCCAGTTGCAAATGGGGTGCCCAGACCACTGGCACCTCTGTCAGACTTGGTGACAAATGCAAGGGTTTCCACAGCCTCCGGCCGGTTCAATAATTTACCGAAATGACTCACAGGACTGAGAAAAACACTTTATTACTATCAGTTCATGATGAAAGATACAGCTCAGGAATAGCCAAATGGAAGAGATGCCAAGGTCAAGGTGTGGGTGGGGGAGGGGGCACAGCGCTTCCTTGCCCTCCCGGGCACCCCATTCTCCCTGCCCCTTCCTGCTCCTGCTCCACTAACCTGGAAGCTCTCCAAACCCCAAACAAACAAAACTGTGGGGTTTTCTTGGAGGTTTCACCTCATAGGCATAATTGATTAAATCACTGGCCACTGGAGATCCATCCACTCAACGTGTTAAACAGATCAGAAACCTGGCCCATCCCACCATGCCCACTGGGGCCGCTGGTCCAGCCCTCAATCGTCTCTTACCGGGATCATTGTGCTAGCCTCCCACGTGTTCCCCACCCATGCTGACGCTGCCCCTTTACCGTCTACGCTCCGTCTAGCAGCCAGAATTATCCACTTAAAGCATAAATTAGGTCAGGTCACTTCTCAGCTGAAAACTTTCCCATACTCCCCATCTCACTTTGAGTAAAACCAAAGTCCAACCAAAGGCGCGGTGACTCATGCCTGTAATCCCAGCACTTTGGGAGGCTGAGGTGGGAGGGTCACTTGAGGCCAGCAGTTCAAGACCAGTCTGGGAAACATGGCAAGACCCTGTCCCTATGAAATAATATTAAAAGACTTCCCAAATCCGGCCAAGCACAGTGGCTCATGCCTGTAATCCCAGCACTTTGGGAGGCTGAAGTGGGCAGATCACCTGAGGTCAGGAGTTCAAGACCAGCCTGGCCGACATGGTGAAATCCCATCTCTGATAATACAAAAAAAAAAAAAAAAAAAAAATTATCCTGGTATGGTGGCGCACGCCGTAATCCTTAAGGAGGATGAGACAGGAGAATCGCTTGAACCCAGGAGGCAGAGATTGCAGTGAGCCAAGATCATGCCATTGCACTCCAGTCTGGGTGACAAGAACGAAACTTGGTCTCAAACAAAACAAAAGAAAACAAAAAACCAAACAACAACAACAAAAACTTCTCAAATCCCCCAAAGTCCTCCCAGTGGCTCCCGGGGGCTGCACGATCTAGCCCCTGATATCTCTCTCTCCGGCATTGTCTCCTACACGATCTCCCTCTCTCACTCTGCTCTGGGTCCTTGTAATCTCTTGCCTGTTCCTTGAATACGCCAAGAATACTCTCACTCCAGGGCCTTTGCACTAGTCTTTCCATTGCCTTGGAATGGTTTCCCCAGATAGTGAGAGGTGTGCTATCCAACCGCCTGCTAAGTAGTAGGTGGGTGCTTCATTTTTCTGCACAACACTTATGACTGCCTGATGTTACAGACTTGTTTATCTTCTGTTACCCCCTCCTGCCGACAGAATGTTAGGTTCCTGGAGACAGGGCTTTGCTTGTTTTTTTCGCTGTTGTATCCGCTATGCCTAAATCACAGCCTGGCCCACAATGTCAGCACAATCAATGCCACAGACATTAAATGTCTTTTGAACCCTTTCCTTTTTATCCTTCTAAACAGCTACTCACTCTGGCCACTAGATGGCACTCAAGTACTTTCTGTGCATTGAAGCAGCCTCATGGGTTTGGTGGAGAGGACTCACTGGCCCTCTCCGAGCCTGAATTTTAAAGTTATCCCTGTTTCTGGTGTTTTGGGACTTTGTTTCCTTTCTTTGAGGCATTTTAGGAACATATTAAGGCTCGCTTTTATTTTATTTTCAATTAAAACTTAACTCATGAGGAATACCTGTATGGCCAATACTGCAGCAGAGTACAGTGAGGCTTTCTCTTTACGTTCAAATTACTATGACTTGAATCCAGATCTGGGTAACTTCTGGAAATCAGCCTCCTTGAACCCCCCCCCCCCCACCTATTTCTAAGCATGTCCCAGACATTACCTCTTGGGGTTCTGAAGTCAGTCCTCGGTTCCTCTCTGACCGACTACTGGTCTTGACTACCTTGCTGTCATCCCCTTGGTCTCAGACCCCGTTTCTATCCTCCTGAAGTTGCTGGGTCCACGTGTCCTCTCTGTCACAACCATTTTAGGGCATGGCTCTTTTCTGGCCCATTCCTGAAATGTGGGACGGGGTTTTCCCAATTCACAGCACAGCTGACACCATGATATGAGGATACGATTTTGAGCAAGACCTTCCCCAAGGATCAGGGATGAAGGACTGTAAATACATCAGGGCGTCACTCTCCATAGCTGTGGCTCACACTGTCCTCAGAGCCCTCTGGTCCAGGATCATCCCTGCTGTCTCTTTTCCAGCTGGAGCTCTCTACAGCTCTGGTGGTTTCCATTATACATGGACAGGCCATTGCCCAGCCTCAAGATTCTCCAGCCTCCTCTGCCCTTTGGAGGCCAGGTCTGTCTGGCTCTAATACTTAGAGAACAAGTTGTCCTACATTCACATCACTCCTAGCACAGGCCCCAGGATATCCTCCTTCCAGGATGATTGACATAGAAATATCTAGTCCCTTCAGATGTGTGCTTGGTATTGTTGGAAATAAGAGCTTGGAGTCACAAAGAAAATCAGCACTCAAATAAAGGATTTCTCAGCAAGGCAAATTTACTTCTGGAGAATGGTGCCACTTGCCCTTCTGGCCACTGCAAGAGCACACTGAACAAAGCAGAGGAGGTGTTTTTATCCCTAACACAGTCAGTCCCTGATACTGTGTCCGGTCTCCATTGGCTGCAGTTGGACTGCACAGTCTAAGCTGATCCTGATTGGCTACTTCCAATGGAGCAGGGGTGGGGACTACAGCAGTGGAAAGAGCAGTTTTGGCCAAATAAAGTACAGATGTGGTTTGTTACAGATTGGGAATGGATGTGAATTACAGATTGGGAATGGATGTGGGTTACAGATTGGGAATGGATGTGAATTACAGATTGGGAATGGATGTGAGTTGTTACAGATTGGGAATGGATGTGAGTTATAGATTGGGAATAGATGTGAGTTATAGATTGGGAATGGATGTGAGTTACAGATTGGGGATGGATGTGAGTTACAGATTGGGAATAGCTGTGAGTTACAGATTGGGAATGGATGTGAGTTACAGATTGGGAATAGCTGTGAGTTATAGATTGGGAATGGATGTGAGTTACAGATTGGGAATGGATGTGGGTTACAGATTGGGAATGGATGTGGTTACAGATTGAGATTGGATATGGGTTACAGATTGGGGATGGATGTGAGTTACAGATTGGGAATGGATGTGAGTTATAGATTGGGAATGGATGTGGGTTACAGATTGGGAATAGCTGTGAGTTATAGATTGGGAATGGATGTGAGTTACAGATTGGGAATAGCTGTGAGTTATAGATTGGGAATGGATGTGAGTTACAGATTGGGAATGGATGTGAGTTGTTACAGATTGGGAATGGATGTGAGTTACAGATTGGGAATAGCTGTGAATTATAGATTGGGAATGGATGTGAGTTACAGATTGGTAATGGATGTTGGTTACAGATTGGGAACGGCTGGAAGGTTGTTTACTGTAACTAAGGGCAAGTAGGCAAAAAAGTTAAGCTTTGAAAATAGAAGACAAAGAATGAGGGAATTGAACAAGCGGAACCTTTGAAAAGGAACTCACTGTATCCAACAGTATTATGGGCCCAACAAGATCGTCTCAATAATTTGACAATTCATTTACCCCAAGTTGGTGTGTTTCAGGCTTAGATAAAACGGTGCTTTGAACATCGACAGGTGAAATCTTTTGTTAAAAAATACAGTCTAGTTCATCCAGCCCTCCTCCTTTCCCTGTTACTCCTCTTCCTCCTTTTAGTCTTTCCTGCAGTGTGAAGTGAAGAAAATATTGGGACTTGGTGTTCTCCCTATCATGGTCTGCTTTAATGTCCTGTGAACCTGGACCAGAACACACACACCCGCATTACCATCTTCCAAGAACACACGACAGCCAAAGGTCACAGTCAATTTACATCAGTTACAACAGAACGCATCTCTCACTCTGAGTTTTCTCATTTGACCTTCTTAACTGCATTTAAATCTCAGTAAAGAACAATGACTTTTTCCTGTTTTATAGGCCTAAAATACCCACCAATAAGGTCCTCTTAGAAACCAGGCAAGGCACACCCGAGTCTCCATGCTAAAAGGAGGAAGTCATGCACAACTTTTTGGAGACCCTTTTTACTTTGAAAGCATTTCAAACTTACAGGAAAATGTCAAGAGTTGTACAGTGAACTCCCATATAACCTTAACCTAGATTCACCAATTATTAACATTTACTATTGTTTTAGTTTATCTTTTATTTATGTTTGCTGATTATCGGGATTAAGTTGCAGATATAACATTTACTTCCTTTTTTCTTTTTTTCTGAGGTGGAGTCTTGCTCTG